CACCAGCAGTCTTTTTCAGTGAAAAAGTCACAAAAAGCCAGTGATAGACCAAATATTAGTTTTCCTGGTCCTAGCGGGAGTTTACATTCCTCGTTCAAAGAGATTTACCAAATTGTCATATGTGCGCAGTTGACAGCGAATCCAAATGTTTAAAGAAAGGACGGAACAAGACACAGCAGCTGCAAAGACCGTCTGAAAGTAATAAGAGTCCAGGACGAGTGGCTATTGTTGTGCTTTCGTTACATAAGGCGATCACTGAAGCCTTTATTTGGATGGGCTTCTGTCAACAACACATCATTCATGTTTTTTTTCTTCCTCCGTGCCACGTATTCTGATCATTCAGAACATTTTCAGCCTGTAGCCCCTCTCTCTCTCTCTCTCTGCGTGAGCTGCAACACTAGCTCACCCTCACTCCACACGACGACAGGTGGACAGAGACTCACACGGCAGCGCACTGTAACACTGCAAATGACTGCTTTCAATTAGCACTGTGGACGTGTATGCATGCGTGCAGTTATCATCTGTGTACACACCCTTTTCTAAGACCCCATATGTCGTACTAATCACTTTAGAATGTGTGAGTGACACAATTATACGTCTGTGCGTGTCAGCGTGTGTGGAAATGTTCAAAATGCTTGATGAGCTGTTGAGTGCAGTGTCAAAGAAACCATATCCTGAGTGTTTGTGAACTGTGGGAGGAAACTAGTTCCCATAGAAAATCAACAAACATACAAAACACAAACTCCACAGAACATAAGCTAACACCATGATCAAACTGTGCTTGCTGTAATGCAACAGCACTCACTGTCTCCATCTCAAATTATCGATTCAGAAATGTGCCATATCCAGAGAAGGTCCAAAGAAATTCCAAAAACTGACAGGTCAGATCATGCCACATGTTTCTCCTGTGTAGACATGTTGCCCTCACAGTAATGATATTTACTGCTAAGCTGATGACATTCACATGTACCTCTCTACCAACTGAATTACTCCTGCAACTATTTCAACTGGAGAAAATAAAGAGGGCGCTTTCTGTAAACCTTCTTTCACTTCGCAATAAAGGTGTTATATTTAGCATTCAACCCAGGAGGTAAGAGCCAAAGATAGCAACCAGGTGCAACAGTGTATTTACAAGCAGTACAACATACAGGACAGCAAGAGCGACATTAACAATCAACGAGCAACAGTGATCCAGAACACACAGAAGTACCACAGGCAATGTAGCGCACACACAGAAACAACATACTATCATCGACAACAACCCAGCAAAGACTGAGAGTGAGAAGGACGTATACATACACAGGGCGCCAGGTGACGCCAGTGAGGTTGATGACAGACACAGGTGAGTGTGATGACACTGATTACCCCAGAGAAACACACAGACCTGACATATGGCTGTTATGTCGTCACCATCATATAGCCATAACCTGGAAACATGATTAGATCAACAATAATATTATTATTATATATATGTATATATGTATTTTTTAATATAATAATAGACCATCAATCTATTACATAACATACCGACCAATCAATTAACAGACGCTCTTTTTCTCTCATCAGTTGGATTTCTACTACAGCACTCTATTGTCCAATCCCCCACCGTCTCCACCTTCTCACCACCGTCAACCCTTCACACACAGAAGGGGCAGAACTGTCTTCATCATAGCCAACTGCTCTGGAACAGCCTTTTAACTAAAGATAAGGATTAGGTCTAATGCAGACTAAATAGATGGTAGGTGTGAATGAGATGGTCGGATGACTGCTGTCAGCTGGGACCCAGAATAAATGGGCTCATTTAATTGGTTCTAATAACTTGATTTAAACTTGTGTTAATTTAAAACCTCACCTAAAATCAATTAACTCAGAATTGTGTTGGAAATGGTGTGTGTGAGTGTGTGTGTCTGTGTGTGTGTGTGTGTGTGTGTGCATGCGCGCGTTTGTGTCCAGTAGACTCCAGTACGGAATGTTGACAACAGCTGTGAACATAACTCAAAGAATTCAAACAGAAACCTAACCTCATAACATCTCTCTCTCTCTCTCTCTCTCACACACACACACACACACACACGTGTCTAGAATAATGAAGATTATTGGTGGCGGCATCATAAGCGTAGCAGATGAACAGAGTCAAAGCTGCAGTGTTTGACCATTTATGTACATATGCTAGCTAAAAATACAATATTCTTCCAGCTGGAAGAAATATGTACACAAAAGAAACACTTGTATTGCAATGTTGACTACAGCTGCACAAAACACACAATGTCTCCCACTCTGCACCAAAGTTCATACAGAAAATCAACAATTTTTCATAACGTCATACCAGTGTTGTCAAAAAAAAGCTGAAAAGAACCTGAAATCATTTTTCTTCCAATAAGCCACTTGGATCGAAGAACCAGAACCATTCTGTCGTAAAAAGTACCTCAGAGGTACTGAAGAGGTTAAATCTCAAATAATGAATGTTCAGTTTATCACTCTCTCTAATTATTTATGGATTTGCAGAAACCTTTATTTATTTACATATTGAGTTATAAATCTACCCTCCCCGATCTTAGTCACACACACACATACACCCCAGTAAATCAGTTATATCCTCAGAAGTAGCTGCAGAGTGAGCACTTGTTGCTTGCATTCCATTTGTCGCAGTGAAATCACTCCGTTACGTCTTTCCACTCGTCTTGGTGTAGATGTCTGAGATGTCTGCTGGCAGCTGGACTCAAAACCTGGACCCACTTTGAGACTGAGGGAGACAGACGCAGCTGCCTGGTTGGGCTCGGAGATAATGTTATCTTCAGACTTTAGCTTAGAAGTGAAGGATTTAAATCACACGGCAACCTGATATACAATAAATCCTTTTCTTTGATGTCCAGCTTTGGCACCAAGTGTTTTGGCATATTTTTAAGCTTTTGTTAGCATTGCTAGCCCACTGGAAAAAAGTGTTTGAAAATCAGAAACCTCAGTCAAGGCCACTTTCTTATGGTCACATTTAACAATATTTTTTAAAAGTATTTAAGCCTGGATCTCCACCAAAATCAAATCATGTCTCCCAGGGGGTGTAACCTAGATTCCAGGATAGAATGTTATCTGCTTATCTGTTAAAAAATACAAGCCACAAACAAATGTGACTGTAAACACAACCTTTGTGGTTGTAAGTGGAGATGGTGATAAACAATTGTGAGCAGCTAGAGAAAACTGTTGCTGTCCTACTACAGTTGCCATGTGGGATCAGAAAACAAACATCGCTGACACAGAGGCCCCCGACCCTCGACTGAAGGAGCTGGACTCCTGCAGACTCCTGCAAAGAACTGGCGAGTCGAGAGTTTGGACAGAGTCTGAGAGACTCTGGAGGGAGTGTGGCTCTGTTCCAATGTTGGTGGAGCGCAGCATGTCCAGGCCTGCTGCGTCATATGGCCAAACAGACCAGCTCGGTTTCCTTATCGCTCTGTGGCAGAGCTCAGTCTCTCTCAGTCTTAAAAAAAACATACGTTCAATTTTCATCCACCGCTGATGCTGTCAGAAGCAAAAAATAAATAAATAAATAAATAAAAGCTTATTAAACACATGTTTCAAATTAATGAATGTTCAAATTTAGTTGAGATTGAACCTCAGTCTTGGAAAAAAACATTTAGCCAGACACTGAAAGGAATGTCTCGAAAAATAAATGTAGCTGCAGGTGAGATAACAGCTCTTAGAGTCGACATGTTCATTTTTCACTGCAGAGTAATTTGTGTCTTGTATTATCAGTGCTTTGTCAGGGTGTGGTTTTGTGCGAGAGAGACAAAAAGTAAGTACAACGACAGGTTTTCTGTTTGCTTTAC